ATCTTTGAAAACCTTATACATGTGCATGTACAGGTGCATCAATAGGTACATATGTTGCCATGGTAACTTACAGTGTGGCTAGTTGAGTCATGTTGTTAAAGGTGTACGGGGCCAAAGCACTGATGCTGTTGTTGCTCAGGTCCCTGTGTCGACAGAAACTTGCATGAGGGACCGATACAAACACACACTGCATGCATCCATATTGGTTTCGTAAACTTGAAAATGACGTGGCGTCATTCTGTTCAAGGTTATGTGAGAGGTACATACACCAGCGACAGCTGTTTCAGGTTTGCCAGCTCCTTGGGCACAGATGTCAGCATATTACCCTCCAAGTAACTGCAAGAAAAAAATGCATACTTAATATAGTATTTATTACATACACAAATACAGCCATGTGGAGGGGTGAATAGATGCCAGGGGAGCAAGTAAAAGTTTTGGATTAGTAACTCTAAGAAGAGTGAATGAATGAGATGTAGAGCATAACAACCAGCATAACAGGAATGGAGCTTCTTGCATCCACTAGCTTTGACTGAAGAAAACAAAAGAACTCATTTAAAACTGGCCATCTCCCGTTTATCTCGCATCAGGTTATTTGGTGACTGGCTGTAGGTGTAAATGTGAGTATGAATGGTTGTCTGTCTTTGTCAAAGTCTCCGTGACCCCGAATTGAAGAAGCAGTTAAGGAAATGGATGAATGGACATCACACGTTCAAGGTTGTGTGGCTGTGCACTTCTGGGCCACTCCACAGACATTCCTATCAGATCATTTGCACATGTATGTTTGCGATTTCCCTGTGGACCACAAGCTTCTACAGACAGCACACATTAGCATCTGTGTCAAACTGACCCAATCTTTATGTAGACTGAGAGAAAAAAAGAGTTTTCAATGGAAGGATCTGCAACAACCAAGCCGGAAGTTGCCACATCAAGTCGAGAGCTTGACCGTTTTTGTGTGTTTATGATCTGTTTTTGTTTTGTTTTTTGTCTCCCAGGGCTAGTCTGTCATGTCCTGGGGTGTTATTAGAGATTAGCCAACATGTGCTGGTACGTCGCAAATAAAAAAGGGAATTTCTGGCCACACTAAAAGATTCTTTATTCAACAGCATCCCTGTTCATTAGAACACCTTCACGTGTACTTCTCTTTCCTGGAGGACACAAATGCAGGTGATCAGAAGGGGAATTCCACATAGTGAATTAAAAGTAGGTAGTACTTTGTAGTAGTGCATTGAACGGGGAGATGGTCAAATTTAAATGACTGTGATGCTGTTATAGTGTTGGGTTGCTGAGCTTTATAATTGCATCTTATGATGTTTGTGTTTTTCTGTGTTTAAAGGGAAGAAAACACTGTTACATTATGTTATATGAGCAAAGTTCTGTGTTCGACATACAGAGAATTTTCACATTCTTGCGTTCTAATATTGCGAGAAACAACATAAAGGTATACACACAAGCATACACATATTTTATGATGCATTGGTCTCTGTTTGTCTCTCTCAGGTCATAAGTAGGTCATGTGGACAGTATGATGGAGTGTCTTCTTCAGCCTGATCAATACCTAATCACTGCTATTGACCCTGTGGAGCAGGCCTATTTCACAGCTAGAGGGGTTCCTCTGTGTTTGTGCATGAGCACGTACGTGTGTGCAATAATTCACCATTACTTTGTTCCTACTTCTTTTTAAATTTCCTAATCATAATTAACATTAAGCCTTGTTTTATCTTTGATGATTAACAATGTGTCTTTATTACAAGGATTCCTGATAGCTTGAAATTAATGAAAGATATAAAGCAATTCTCTTGAAGCACCAATTTAATCATAAAGAAAATAAACAATTATTCATATTTTTTACATTATTTCTACAAAA